GGTGGGACAGGGTGGTACACACAGGGAGGAAGAGCACATGGCCCTTCAGGAGGCAGTGAAAATGAGTGGACAGGCTTACTCATTTTATGACAAACCTCTCTCCAAAACCTGAGGGGTCTTGAGCTCATAAGAACTACCATTCAAGAGCACAACCCTAACGATGAAGGACCTCTCCCTAGTCTTCCCCTAAAGGTTTCCCAGCACTGCCACAGTGGAGACCAACCCTGAACTCACAACAGATTTTTGGGGGACACCAAAGGCTTAGCATTTCTCATGCTTTAGTTAACTTGAGCATCTTCTAGAAGGCCTCATAAGCATAGATTTATGTATTCTGCTCCTATAGTTGCTGGTAGGGGAGGGTTTTAGTGGAGCCTTGATTGTGCATTTCTAACAGATTCCCAGGTGCTGTAGCTGGTGCTAGTTCTTTGAGAAGCAATGTTTCAAAGTTTATATTCTAATAAATTCACATATGGTTAGAAGATCTGTTAAATGTTTGCTTGTCCTATTTTGCTTTTAAATATTTCACTCTGTTGTATAACCTCTTTTTTTTTTTTTTTTTGAAAGGCAGAGTAGACACAGAGAGAGAGAGAGAGAGAGAGAGAGAAAGGTCTTCCTTTGCCGTTGGTTCACCTTCCAATGGCTGCCATGGCTGGCGCACTGTGGCCAGCGCACCACGCTGATCCGAAGCCAGGAGCCAGGTGCTTCTCCTGGTCTCCCATGGGGTGCAGGGCCCAAGCACTTGGGCCATCCTCCACTGCACTCCCGGGCCACAGCAGAGAGCTGGCCTGGAAGAGGGGCAACGGGGACAGAATCCGGTGCCCTGACCGGGACTAGAACCTGGTGTGCCGGCGCCGCAAGGCGGAGGATTAGCCTAGTGAGCCACGGCGCCGGCCTCTGTTGTATAACCTCTTAAAGTTTTAGGCAGGTCTGAAGTTTAAAGGTACAATTTTGCAAGTAATTGATGTCTGATAAATTCAAAGATGATTATTTGTAGGATCATTCATAGAATTTTTTAAATTTCTTTCAATGGACATCTCCTATTTGCATAACATACAAAGGAAGCAGATGTGACAGCATATTTTTTTAAGAATTATTTATTTGAAAGAGTTAGAGAAGTAGAACCAGGGAGAGAGAGAGATCTTCCGTCTGTTGGTTCACTCCCCAAATGACCACAACAGCCAGAGTTGAGCTGATCTGAAGCCAATAGCTTCTTCCAGGTCTCCCACATGGGTGCAAGGTCCCAAGGGCTATCTTATTCTGCTTTCCCAGGCCATAGCAAAGAGTTGGAGCAGAAGAGGAGCAGCGGGGACTCGAACAGGCACCCATATGGGATGCCGGCGCTGCAGACTGGGGCTTTAATCTGCTGTGCCACAGCACCAGCCCCAGCAGCATATATTTCTAACAAGATGATGGTGGCCTGGTTTTGTAGGTTGATTTTGAGGATTCAGGGATTGTCAAACTCTAAGCATCCAAAGTGAAAGTTTGTGTAATTTGAAAGAGATAAAATTATGCACAGCAAGTTCTATGGGGATTTGTATGACATTTTCTAATCTCTGAATCTTTCAGGTGCTTCTTTTCACTCCTAGACTACTTTTCATAAATTTAATTTTTAGCTTTTATTACCTTAACCAGAAGCTTTTACATTTTGGACTTGGAAAGGGATTTCTGACTCCATGGGGAATTATTTTTCACACTTAACAATGTTTGATATTGTAGATAAAATGTCAAACCTTAAAAACCCCATTCTAAGTTAGCCTGCCCCTGTGACTGGCTGGTCTTTGAAATTAACACGAATATGATAAGAAAGGCAAGCACAAAGGGAATTAAGCTTACAGAATGATTTTTACTATTTGATCATTTTGGTAAGTTTCTAAAATATATTGAGAATATTTTCTTTTGCAAGATTTCAATTAATATAAACTTGGAATGTCCTTGGAAGTATTATCTCTGATACTTATATCTGACAAAATTCTTCTATGTCATCAGAAAAACACAGAAGGTTTTTTGTGTTGAAATATGCGTACAAATTATTGTTTCATAAAATAAAACAAGGAGTAGAAGTAGAGAGAGAAGGCAGAAGAAGAAGAAAATGGTGGGTGGTGGGTGAGGAGGCAGTGGGTTGGGAAAGAGGAGGGAGGAGAAGGAGAGATTCCAATGATCATCTGACAATTGGTTTGCTCAGACTAACACAGTAAGAAAAGCTTGTCATTAGTAAATGCATATGTGGCTTTTTGCCAGCATTCTAACCAGTGATTTAGAAATCTTCCCGAGCCAACATTTGGAATGAGAGAGGACTGGAGATGCATTCATTGATATTGGGAACTCTGGTGTCACACTCACTTGTGCCTGTTTTTGTTTGTTTGTTTGTTTTTTTAATGCATAGGATTTTGGTACCATCAAGTATCTTTCTCCCAAATGTAATTACCTGAAGTGATTTTATAGGAGGGCTTAAAGGATTGCTTCTCTTATGTAACTAAACAAAACACAGACTTACCCATTGGACTTTGTCCTTGATGATTTGCCTGCCACTGCCATTTTAACATGAAATGTTCTGCATTACTGAAAAGTAGACCACTTCGATTGGATTCCCAAATGCATCCTGCTGCTGCTTTCTCTTGTTCTCTTCCCCTCCGTTCCCAGCAGGTACATACTTACATCATGGAACTCCCAGCGTCCAAATTCCACACCACAACTTTGTGTGCTATGGGATCCAAATATTTCCACTTGTCTGTCTTCTTCATGTTTATGATCTCTCTTTTCCTCTCTACATACATTCTATCAATATTCTTTCAGTTTATTTCAGGCTGATTCATGAATGCAAACTTTTGATATAAATATTTCACTTTGAGATTTGCTATACTGGTGGTCAGAATGTCTCCAAGAGGAACTAGTAATCTAAGACAAAAAGAGAGTTTGTTAAGATTAATTGAGTTCCGAGAAATGTTTTTGTGGTATGTTTCTTAGTCTGGTATGAAACACTCCACACGGCAGTTGGAGGTGGGCTGGTGACACTTGCAAAAGGGACCATATTTGCGAAGGGCCAGCTTTTCTAAGCATAAGTAATCCAAGTTACTTTAAGCAGAGAGTTTGCTTTATTCCAGAGCCATATATTCAGACTGTAATTGTTCTAAGAAGTACAAAAAGCTGAAATTGCCAGTGAGTTGCAAGGGTAATTGTATGAAAGAAAAGTTAATCTTTATTTAACTTTCCTAAACTATATACTCACGGCACTGAAAACTGTCATAACCTCCCTGTTTCAGAGTAAGTGGATTATTTATCTGTGATAATGGGCACATACGCTCATTAACATGCTGTCATAAACAGCTGTATTGAATGTATTATGTGTTTTGAGTCATAAATAAGGCTCTCAATATGAGGCTGTGTTTAAAATATAGGCCCCAGGAAGAACAAAAAAGCAATAAATGTTTTTTAATATAGTTGCCTCGTTTGGAGTTCTGAATTTATTTCCACCTTATTAATGCTACTTGTATGGAAATTGTAGGTATTACTCTAGTGAAATATCTTGACATTCAAGGGCATTAGAACTTTATACTTTCTCATCCTAAGTGTATCCCAAGCCAGCTATTTGCTGGCTTGTGTTTCTTTTGTGGTAATAAGAAGATGGAGTAGAAATGTGAGAGGCATTTACAATGTAGTCTCCATCTCCGAATGCTTACAACAGAGCTCACTTGATGGACATCTCCACCCATTCTAGTACTGAAGGTTTCCAAACTGAATGTAGAATTTCCAGGTCATGTGGTTCAAAGCCCTGGTTTTGCATATGAGCAGACTGCGGTTCTGAGGACTTAAAAGATCCGTTTGACACCCAGATCATTAAGTGATAGAGCCAGGACCAAGGATAGATCTCCAGAGTCCCAGTTCAGTATAGGTTCCATTGGAGGACAGGATGTGTTATAATTAGGTTGTCTACATAAAAGGAATCTGGGAAGAGAGAGCCTCTGTGTCAGTGATGGGGCATCTGTACCAATATCGCTCATTATAGACTTAAAATGGTATTAAACAGCAGTAAGAAAATTCAGTTTAGAGTCTAAGAATAATTATTGAAAATCTCATGCCAAAGGGTATTGTGGAAAGTTTAGCCCTGAAGTTGTTCAAAATGAAGCTGAAAGTCGTTTGACTTCAGTGGTTTCAGCGATACACCTGCCTGAGCAAAAGATGCCCACAATGAGGAATCCGCTGCAACATCCAAGCAGTTCTTGCAACACTGTGCTGCCAGCCTGACAAAAGAGTGCACTACTAATTACACTTGCTGCATCCCTCAGGATCATTAAATAACTTTCTGCTCCTCCTGTTGGTTCCTTATGTTCATTTATGTTTATGAACAGCAAAAAAATTCAACTATAATATTCATTTAGGTTTCCAGGCCCATGAGAAAGATTTGGATGGAAATTAAGACACTTTAGGGATTTGCATTTTTAGGTAGTAGCTTTATTGACTGGCTTCTGCAAATGGTTTTTACCTGTTTCAAAACTCAATTAAGCTTTACTCTAACTTTGCCCACACCTTTCACAGTTGATTTTGATTTTTATAAAACACTGTGAGCAGAAATTTTTTACAAAAATTCAAGGAATGCTTTAATCAGAATGAAGAGAAGGAAATAGTCCATAAATCTTAGCTGTGACATTACAATTGCTACTTGAAATTATCTTAATTTGCAAAGTATTAGTTTCTTTTCTTCCTAAATTTTCAAACTGATAATAGCCCTGCCTGGATTTTTACAATCTCTTAATTCCTCATAGGCTTATTTTGGGGACCAAGTGTTTCTTTAGTTGCGTGATTTGAACTGGGTACTTTTTCATTTGTTTAATACAATATCCCTGATGTTAAGTTTCAGTTACTCCTAGACATTTTTCAAAGCCACCAACTTTTTTGAAAAAGCTTTGTGGCTTTCCTTTTTTTTTTTTTTTTTTTTGAAAGGAAAGTTAAGCTGAGATTTATTTGAACACATGAACATGCTTATCTGTGCCGTCTTCTTCCAGGTTTCCAAATTAAAGCCTTCACATCCCTGCGCTTCCTGTCGGAACCCTCTGATGCCGTCACGATGCGGGGAGGAAGCGTCCTCCTGAACTGCTCTGCGGAGTCGGACCGCGGAGTGCCGGTCATCAAGTGGAGGAAAGACGGCATCCACCTCGCCCTGGGGCTGGAGGAGAGGAAGCAGCAGCTTCCCAATGGGTCTCTACTGATACAGAACATCCTCCATTCCAGACACCACAAGCCAGACGAGGGACTTTATCAATGTGAGGCGTCTCTGGGAGATTCCGGGTCAATTATCAGTCGGACAGCGAAAGTTGCAGTAGCAGGTAAGTGGATTATTTTCTTTTCTGCTCTTGCTCCAACTCTTCCGAAATAACACAGATTTTTAACTTATATTTTTGATCAACAAACAATTATATTTTATGGGGCACAGTGTGATATTTGTGGAATCATTGTGGAATGATTATATCCAAACTAATCAGCATATTCATCCACTCAAATATTTTTTGTATGTGCAGTGAACATTTAAAATTTACTGTTGTAATAATTTTGAAATGTATGCTGCATTATTAACTAGAGTCACCATGCTGTGCAATAGGTCCCAAAAATATATTTCTCCTATGTAATTGAAAATTTGAACCCTTTAACCAGTAACTGCTCATTCCCAATCACACCATACCCTCTTCCCTACCAAAACCTCTGATAACAATCATTCTATACTTTGTCACGTAGTGTAGGATCCGCCAAGTTCAACCATGTTACTGATAACAAGATTCTCTTCTTAAAAGGCAAAATAGTATTCCATTATCTGTGTGTATAGCATTTTTTATTTATTCATCTGTTGATAGACGTTTATACTAATTCCATAGCACAGCTATTGTGAATAATGTTGCAGAGTACATGGGGATGTAGACTGATCTCAATTCCTTTGCATATACACCCAGAGGTGGATCAATTATTAGTTCTGTTTTTAGTTTTATGAGGAACCTCTGTACTGTTTTCCACAATGACTTTACTAGACTGTATTCCCACCAATAATATTTACTTTTAGGGAGAAATTATATAAAATTATTCATGTTTATTCTACATGGTCTTGACTGACTTTTCTCCTTAAGTTACCTTGGGAAACAGTAATAAGATCTCATTAATTGGCATAATATTCTGAGATTTTTTTTTTTTTTTTTTGGACAGGCAGAGTGGACAGTGAGAGAGAGAGACAGAGAGAAAGGTCTTCCTTTGCCATTGGTTCACCCTCCAATGGCCGCCGCGGCCGGCGCACTGCGGCCTGTGCACCGCGCTGATCCGATGGCAGGAGCCAGGAGCCAGGTGCTTTTCCTGGTCTCCCATGGGGTGCAGGGCCCAAGCACCTGGGCCATCCTCCACTGCACTCCCTGGCCACAGCAGAGAGCTGGCCTGGAAGAGGGGCAACCTGGACAGAATCCGGCGCCCCGACCGGGACTGGAACCCGGTGTGCCGGCGCCGCTAGGTGGAGGATTAGCCTAGTGAGCCGCGGCGCCGGCCGAGATTTTTTTTTTTTAACAACAAATCTGGCTCATGTTGATTCACCACTTATGTCTAAGATTTCCATCTATAGAAAAGTATTAGAAACATAAATTCTTAATTCCTTTTTTCGGCTTTACTAACATCAAACTGTTGCAGAGTTAATTTCTTTTTTTGGCTTCAGAACAGTGAACTCTGTTTTAATTATACTGACATGACTTACAACATGTAGATCTCAAGTGAGCAGTAAAATTTTCACTAGTGTTTCCAAATATTGTGGTGCTTGGTAACAAGTTGGCTCAATAGCTGACTGATGATTTGAAAAGATTTCTTTTCATCTGTATAGAGCAAAGACATTAGACTCTGAAAAAATTGTATTGAATATTCTGAAATTGACAGGCTTGTTATTTTTTGCACCACTATTCTGATTAGAGGGCAGCTCAAAATTACTTCTTTTGGCTCCTAAAATATTAGAATTATGGGGAGAACAATGAAATTTTTGCTTGTATCTGTAATTTGACCAAAAATTGGTCTGTCATATAGTTTTTTAAAGACTTGTTTATTTATTTGAAAGACAGTTATAGAAAGAGAAAGAGAAATCTTCCATTCACTGGTTCACTTCCCAAATGGCTTGGTCAGGCTGAAGCCAGGAGCCAGAAACTCCATTCTTTTATCCCATATGGGTGGAAGACCTTCTAAGACAGAAAGACACACACAGAGGTGTGTGTGTGTGTGTGTGTGTGTAATAATTTAGTTTATATATATATTTAATAGGTTATATATTAATTTTGGTGTGGAACATAATATAAAGCAAATGGATCCAATTGAAATAAATTTAAACTATCAAATGGATAATCAGATTTGAAGGACTACTTTTAAATGTAGCCTTTAGTTTTTAATAAAAAATTGGAAGCAATAAGCTGCTATATAGTTATTTGATGTAGGTTTCCTTCCCCACGTCCCATCAAGCTCATCCTGGAAGACGGATCCTAATGAGATCTCATTCTCAGCAATTGCACTAATTGGAATAATCAGACAGGACAACCATTTCCCCTTGTGCACGTCTAGGATGGTTTGAGACATTTGAAATATAAAGAGGTGATATTGCCAGGTGTTGCCATGGTGAATTTACTCTCATAGATAGGCAATCAGTCACCAAATACAACTTCACGACACTCTTGTTGTGGCTTCTTGCCCACCTAGTAGAGTGAACAGCATTCTGGTTTTCCCTGGGCTGACTGGGCTTTAGCACTTGAGAGTTCCCTGTCCTGAAAATATCCTCAGTACAGGCAAGAGCTAAAAAAGAAAAAAATGTTTGATCACCCTAACTAGAGGCAACCCTTTTTGTCTTAGCATTGACAGACTACATTGTGGATGCACAAAATCCCCTCTGCTTAGGAGACAGGTGAGGTGACAGTCTGATACTGAAAACCATTTGAGAGCTTTGAGTGATAGGTGTCTGATACATGATTGACATTCACAACTGTACAAAGGACTAAAAAGTAATGTTAATTATATGTGATTGAGAGGAACACATGGGACAAGGTCTGAGGATGGGGCAAGATCTGCTTTTCTAGAATGCTCCAAATGAACGGAAAAGGATGCAATTTGATTTTCTGTCATTTGAGAATTTGTGGACTTTTGGATCTACTCATGAGTCCACAACACCAGTGTGGCTCTGCCAGTTTGAATGAGTCAGGTTGGCATTTTGATGTCCTGTTACAAAGTGAGCTGCAAATGCACTACTCATGAAAGTGACCCGATATGTTTTAGTTTCAGTTTCCCTGCAATTCAGATTCAGTTTTGCACATTCTGTGTTTCAATGGAGGAATGAAGAATGATTCCTTCTCTCTGTGAGATATTAAAATAAGTAGCTTTGATTTTAGTATTCTATACAAGGATAGGCTCTCGGATCCAGTCACTGAGTTACAATCTAATATTAGATTGTATCATTTCAAGGCAATAAGGCTGTTCACAGCATTTTAAACACTTACCATGCTGTTTGGCAACACAGAATACATCAATGTTATGTCTGCTGAAGTTAAGATTGCCAAACCACTAGAATTCACAAGGGGCATATATCTTCCTGGTAATAAAGACCGTGGACCTGATTTAATCTCATTTTTAAAGCATTAGCAGTCAATAAACCAGTCACCACTAAAAGGTAACAGTCAGCTTCGCTTGGGTGAAAAAAAAAATCTGTTCTATACTTTCAGGTGCAGTGTAGATAGAGCCCATTTAATATAATGCCCCTCTTCCATTTTTGCTTTCTGAAAGTATCTTTGGATATAAAGAAATGTGGCAAATGAAATTTGTCTTTAATCAGTCAGAACATTTATGCAATGACTTGCCATGTACAATCCATCCTATTTGCTAGGACTCTTCAGCTGCTCTTTAAACCCTGAGTGCAGACTGGGCTGGGGAGGAAAGAGGAGCAGGAAAGATAAATGAAGGGCTACCATCCTTTCCACATCTTCTAAAAGATGACAGCATAATAAGCTACTATGGATATTACTGGTCTTTTTACTTTGATTTAGTAAGAAATACCTGAAATACTAAGTCTCCACCTAAAAGCAAGGTCACTAATACTGGCTGAAACTTGGGAACTTTATTTTAATCCAATTAGCTCTAATCTCTAATGTTGCATTCTTTCCCTTTATGGATATCGTGGTTCAGCCCTCAAGGTTGAGATGAGCTTGAGGAACAAAGCCGATCTGGACTTACTTATAGAGCTTCTCTACCACCCTCGCCACTCTCTCATGATTGGCAGTAGACATTGCTCTTTCCAGTGAGAATAGGGGCTTTGTGCCATATATGGAGAATTTTCAGTATTTATCTTCCCTCTCTCCCCCATCCTTGCTTTTACCCACCTTCCCTTTAACCCCTTTTTCCCCCCTTCCTCGTCACTGAACTAGTCCAAATCTGTTAACCTACATATGTGCACATATAAAAATATTTCTGATGCAGTGGGTTGGAATAATTTAATAACTCAATGTACAAATTAATTGACTATTTAGGAATTCAAAATTGAAAAATAGTGCTAGAATACTCACATGACACTCAAAAAGAGTAGGCTGCTTCTTCATTCCTTTTACCTCTTAAACATCAAGATGAACTTGCTTTTGGCCAAGTGCACCTCCCCTACTCCAGATGTCGCTAGCTATGTGAGCCTATGGATTCTCTTCTGTTGAACAGATAAAACAACCCACTTCCAAAGGTGCAGTGAGGTGTTTTTAAAAAACTTGTTTGACAGGCAGAGTAACAGAGAGAGAGAGAGACTGAGTAAGGGAAGTAAAAGAGAAATAATTTAAATAACTGCTGATTCACTTCCCAAATGGCTGCAATAGCCAGATTTGGGCCAGGCTGAGCCTGGGAGCCAAAAACTCCATCTAGGTCTCTCTCATGGGTGACAGGGAACCAAGTAGTTGGGCCATCGTGCACTGCCTTCCCAAGCATTTTAGCATGATGTTCGGTAGGAAGATGCTCACTGGGACTGGAACCAGCACTCAGATATGAGATGCAAGTGTTGCAAGCAGCAACTTAACCTGTTGTACCACAACACAGGCCCACACAGTGACTTTCAAGTAATATCTAGGACATAAAACTCTAATATTGAGTAACTTCCTATCTATTGACAGTGGTAAATAGACCTGGTAATGGTTATTATTTTGTTATTACAAGTATTATCAGAAACTTACAGCTTTTAACATTCCCATGTGTTGGTACAAAACATTTTGGGAGGAGGGAATTGGGATGAAATGTAGGCTACAGGGACCAGCGTTGTAGTGCAACAGGTTAAGCATCTGCCTGATAAAAGTATCCAGTA